CGTATTAGCATATCTCTGCCCTCAGCCAGTTGTATGCTGTCCGCCATTTTCTCAGCGCTCGAGTAGCCATAGCGACAACAATGTCTCATAAGCAGTGCAGGTGTTTAGTAGTTGGATGTAAAAGTGAACATAAGAGTCTTCATTTTCTCCCAACATCAGAGCCACTGGGGACACCGCGGATTAGTAGGGATGCACGATATTATCGGACCAATATCGGAATCGGCCGATAATGGCTTTAAATGTAAATATCAGCATCGGCCCGATATGAAAAATAATGCCGATATGTCTTGCCGATAAGAGGAATACATTAACTTACATGTGCTCAGGGTGTGCTAGCGATTAGATTACGTCAACAGTCCGATTAGACGACATCAGCAGTGTGGCTCATTCTTGAAGCAAAGTTTTGCCTGAATGATGTTTGGATTCACTGTTTTGGATCGCTGCATTTAAACTGAGAATGCATGTACAGAATGAGGCGTTCGGTGTATGATAGAGTAAACAGTAATAGCACATGCAGCGGCAGCCTCCCCAGGGTCCTAATGCCCGCTCAGTAAGGAGTTTTAATTCTGTAGGGGGCGCTGTTGGCCTACTTCTAATAAAATGAACGCAAAATACACAAATAATATTTAGACTGTGTTTCTGATTAAATAAAGCAGTAATTGAGACCATAAAATCATGAGTATGTTTTGATTTAAAGGTCAGAAGCTATAGCTTACAGGTACATGAACAAAAAAAAAATCACAAACATGACACTAAAATTAAATAATTTTATATATACCTACTGATTTATTCATTAATGTGTAATATGTTATATTTAAAAAAAAAAAAAAGAGCTCTAAAAGATTTTCAGAATTTTTACAACTCTTTTGCTTTAAACCATTTACAAATGTTACATCATAAAATAAAATGTTAAGGTTATCACTGCATCTTTCGGGAAAAAAAATGCAATGATTAATATATAGTTTATTTATAGTTATTTTCAAATCTTCAATGTACTGTCATTATAAAATAACTATTATTTTTTTATTTAATTCTAACACATAAGTTCCTGTTAAAAACTAACCAAAATTAAAAATAATTATATATCGGAATCGGCTATTGGCCAAAATGAGTTGAAAATTATCGGCATATCGGATATCGGCAAAAATCCAATATCGTGCATCCCTACGGATTAGTTTTGTTTTTGATGGTAACCTGCCACCAAATACACAAAAAAACGGAAGAGAAGGGTGGGGTGAGCAGTAGTTCATTATCATTTAAAGAGACATGCACCGAAACGGCTCGCTGTGAGCTGAGTTGTTTTTGATAAGGTAAAAGGGTGTTGTTTTACACGACCTTTGAGGAATTTTAACCAAAGTATGTTGCAGACATTTCATGAAGACCCTAAAGAATCATACCAACTTGTGGAAAATGGGCATCTGATGTCCCCTTTAATGTGTACAGACTAGAATCAGAAGACGTTTTATTGTTTTTGTTTTTTTCAATTTATTTTTAAAGTATTAATTGATATTTAAAATAATAATCTTTAGATTACATTTTAGTAATCTAATAGTAATCTAATCGTTTTTTATTTGATTTATTTTATTTCGTTCTGTCCTTTGGGTTTCCACAGAAGAATGAAAGTTACATTTGAACGATGTGAAGGTGAGTAAATGATGAGAAAATGTTCATTTGAACAATACCTTTCCAAGATGAACAACTTTAAAAGTTTATCAAATGTAAAATACTGTAATTCCAACCATTTTTTTTTTTTAGAATTTGCACTACATGGCCTGTTGTGGACTTTTAGCACTGTCGTAGTCATGCTAGCTGTTAATAATAGTGTTCCGTAATTATAGATCTTTATTTATAGATCTGCAGAACGCTGTGACCTTCTAAGGATTGTTTTACGAGGCTTTGTTTTTCTGCTTCCTGTCATTGCATGGACCCAGTGGCTGCTGCACTGGCAGTGCCTGACCATTCAGTCAAACGAAGATATTGAGCTATAACATTTTGTATGTGTTCATTTAAGCACTGTGTGAGAGGCACAGCTGCATGTGCGTGTGTTATAAATGGCTACCCTAGCACCACTATGTAGGTTTCTCTTTCTGTAGAAGTGGGTCTCAAAGCAAACCCTGAAGGGTTCATTATTGCGATTCATCATTCTCGGCCTACTGGTGTCGAGCTCCAAACGACGTCTTTGTCACTATTTTCAGCGAGTGTGTGAGAATGTAAAGGTGTGTGAGAAGCCAGACAGGTTGTTGAATGTGGCCGTGACCCTTTTCTATTCACCGGTTATATATCCCTCATAATTACTCCGGCGGATGATGTCATCACTTAACTTTCCGAACTGCGTGTTAATCCATATCTGCGCTAGTGATACATGAGGGATTATGCAAAATTAATTAATTGACTGCTGTTGCACTTTACGTAAATGAGAAACGTGACGTTATGCTGACAGTTGCCAAGAGGAACTCAATTCCCCCAGTGCACTCAGTATACTTGTGTCTGGGTTTGACTCGCCTTTCCTTCACAGTAGAGTCATAAACAGTCTGGATTTCTTCCTCTGAGATTTTAACGTGGCCTAGTGCTTAATAGCTTTGTCATAAGTGTATACTGATATTTGACAGCTTCACTCCAGTACATTTCAGCCAGCTCCACTGTTGTGTTGTGCCTCGTTCACACTAACAGCAAATATATGTATAGCCACATTAGTGAAATTTTGGCAAAGATTTGTGTGCAAAAAAAGTTCCATTGTTTATTGCAATTACATCACCCATGATTCTGTACAGAAAATTCTAACAATCAAATTGCACGAAAGGAGCTCTGCCCACTCCCATGAAGCACACAAATAACGTAATATACATATTGTTTCTATAGATATAATCAACAACTTTAAACAAACAGTTGTATATTATTTTATCATCCTTTTTAATTGAATTACCTAATTTGCAATGCTTCATAGGATTGTAGTTCTTTCCTTTGCTAAAACCGTTAACAACACAGACACAGAACCAACTGCAAATACAACAAATACTTTCAGAACTAATACCACTAAAAAAGTGGACGGGCACTAATGCAAATATTGTGCTCTGAAATCTCCAGCTGTCATTGAAAATTAATAATATTTGGACGCTTAGATTGAAACGAGGATGTTGTAAGATGAAACAAGTGTTTCCATTCACCATTCCATTCAGTGTTTCTATTCTAGTGTGTCCATTCATGTTGTTTTGTGGGTGTGGTTCTGAAGGCCACATACTCCTCAGAGTAACTTTTATGAAATTAATTAAAATACATTTACAGTCTTTATAAGCCCTGCTCAGATTTCATTCATATATTTTAAAGACATTTTTTTTAAACTCTCTCTATCTCTCATATGCTTTTTATTATTATTTTGTTGACCTGGTGTTTGGAGCTAATGAAAGAAATGGTCAGACTGACTCAGATAAATGGTGAATGGTGCTGGAGCTCAAGTAAACAAACAACCCACTCTGCTTTAATTTAACAAAACAAAACGGACACTTAAGCTGGACTAGCTAAATAGAGCAACCTTTTTCTTATATAACAATAAACATAAAGCTACATATTTGATGTGTCAGAGCAATGGTAAGGAAGTAACCTGAACACTCACGACATAAAGGGCCCGTTTGAATCCAGATATGTAATTTTCTATTCCTGTATTCTCATTCTCTGCAGCCTTGTTTCTATTTTCATATGATGTTAAAACATAACCCAAAACATATTACATAGGCCTATTAATTAACTCTAATACTCACCAAGCATTTATTTGATCAGAAATACAGTAAACATTTATATTGTGAAACAGCATTACAATTTAACCTATTTTAATTTAAAATTAGAATTATTTAAATTATTTTACATGATATTAAAATGTAATTTATTCATGTGATTGCAAAGCTGTATTTTCAGCAGCCATTACTCCAGTCTTGAGTGTCACACTGTCATTCAGAAATCATTCTAATATGCTCATTTGCTGCTCAAGAACATTTCATATTATTATCATTGTTGACAACAGTCATGCTGGTTAAGTTTTTGTGGATAATGTGATGCATTTTTTCAGGATTCCTAAAAAAATAATAGTTTAATAGATTAAAAGTTAGAAAGAAAAGCATTTATTTCAAATTGAAATTTTTAAAAAATATTAAAAATATCTACTATCAATTTTGATAGTATTTGATCAATTTTATGTGTCCTTGCTGACTGAAAGTATTCATTTATTTTAAATAGAATAGAAATGTGTGTGAGTGTATATATATATATATATATATATATATATATATAGGGTTATAAAGTATTCCACTGTTCACTGTTTGGAACTGGGCACTAAAATACATTTTATTTTGTGATACTTAGTGTGACTTTACCATATATTTCCTTTTTAATGGATATTTGCTGTATGCAATAAATAGCAATATGTCACTCATCTTACGTGGATTTATTTGAACAGAAAACCAGAAAAATTTAGGTCACAGAATTTGTTTTTCTCTCTGCATCTTCATGTGCTTAGAGTCAGCGTGGTCCCTGCATCAATAGATGCCACGCATGTAGGCTTTTGTGAATCTTGAAAATGATGTCATCGCTCTCCTAGCAACTGCTTAGCAACCAGTCTTGGAGAGCACCCAGAGCTGGAATCCCTTTAATGCGACTGGGTTTCTGCAGTCGCCCTCTCAAGATCGAAACGAAAATGTGACGTTGTCGTGTAATTCTCCCTCTTATTCCTTGAAAAGGTCAATAGTGCTTTTTTTGTTAGCACACTTTTGTATTGCATTCAAAATGATTGAAAGCATTTAAGCAGATTGTGTTTATATTTTTTCATGTGCTCATACTTGAAGTTTAAAATGACTCGTTGGAGCACAATTTCATGATCTATTTGTGTTACCACAGCTTTGAACATGCAGTTTCAGTGTTTTCACCTGCCCATACTGTATGTGCTCATGTGTCTCATGTGTGTGTCTGTGTGAATTAACACGCTCTGTTTTTGTGGTATTGGTGTCTTCTAGGCTCATGTGGTTCAGCGCTGGCTTGTGCATCAGGACAGTAGTTTGAGTGGAGAGGGTTCGTCGGAGGCTCAAGGTGGAAAATGGCACTTTGATGGAAGAGTAAATATCTTAGTACTGCCTCTCAATACTTTACTTTCCTCTTTCCTGACAAATCGTGTGTGTTGGTGTGGCTTCTTAATCGTTTCTGTCTGTGGTACTCTTGTGGTTGTTGTGGATCTGGCGGCAGGTCTTGTGATTGAATGTCGTGATGTGGCTAATAACAGTTAGCTTCGCTAGTGTTCCTGTAGTGTTTCTTCATAATTCTCTCATTCTTAATGGCTCTTATTGTGTTTTATGTGTGTGACTTTATTCATATTCCTATCATGAGATTCTGTGTGTGTTTAAGTGCGTGTTTTTGTTTGTTTATCAGATGTTTTTTGCAGTAAAAGCTTGTTCAGGGATCGTCTCCTGCTGAGGCTTCTGATTGCTGATATCTGTCAGAATGTCACTTACACTATCAGCAGATGTACTGTAGAGATTACAAAATCAAACAGTAAAAATGAGCGCAAGTCAGTATACACAAACACATGCATGTACAAACTGATATACAAATCTTCATTAAAACATTAATGTTTTGACATTTTTAAAAACAGTGGTGATAAATTTGCAACCTGCAGTTCATTGCATTTGTGCAATGAGTGGACAAAGATGTTATTAAAATGATGACAATTAATATAATAATATTTTTTGTAAATATTTTAAATTCAGTTATTACATTTAATTAAAAAAGCTATAATTTTATTTAGCAAGGATGTATTAAATAAAATAAAAAAGTGATATTTATAATGTTACAGAAGATTTCTATTTCAAAATAAGACTGTTCTTTTTTCTATTAGTCCAAGAATCTGAAAAAAATGCATCACAGTTTCCATAAATAAATAAATAAATATTAAACAACACAACTGTTTTCAACATTGATAATAACAAGAAATGTTTCTTGAGCACCCAGAAAGGAAGAAGGATCATGTGACATTGAAGACTGGAGTAATTTCTGCTGAGAATTCAGCTTTGCAATCACAGTGTCAGACTTTGTTCCGTGTTTTGTGTGTCTTGCTCCCCATGTGCCTTCCTACGCCCATATTTGGTTAGTTTCCTGTTCCTGTCCTGATTAGGTTTATTTGATTCCAGGTGTTCCCCCTTTTATGTCTATTGATCCCAGGTGTGTCTCGTCCTCTCCTCATCCTGTCATGTGTATAAATAGTGTTCCCTGTGTGTGCTC